ATATATATATATATATATATATATATATAACTACAACAGAATACAATTTACATACAATTATAATACAACTTTACTATTTCGTAAGTATACTATATGTCATGTGTTCTTCTTCTTCTTTTTCTTCTTCTTCTTCTTCTTCGAGTTTCAATATGAAATTCAGCCAAAATCAAGTTAATCTTCACCAAAACACCCTCAAAATTGAGATATAAACTCCTAATAATATTTTCAATTGTTTGCACAATACTCAATCCAAACAAATAATGGTTTTTGAAAACTCAAATTCGATTTCAAAGCTTCATAGCTTTTTAATGGATGTTAATGGTGGAGAGTCAAACACCTTCAAAATTTATTGATTGACAATTTCAATTTGAACACCAATTGTGCAACATGAAAGAAAACTGCTAAGTTAAAACAATTGATATCCATTGATGAATTCCATTAAAACTCTATACAATAAGAAAGCATAAAAAAACAGAGAACATTGAATGAAGAAAAATTGGGAAAAAATAGAGAAGTAGAGTAGAGAGATGAAGAGAGAAAGAGAGGGGACAAGCATAAAGGGAAAAGAAATAATTAATATTCCTTATTCAATTCCAAATATAAAGGAATACTCATTTAAAATTTATTTGTATATAATTTGTAAATTGTATATAACCATGTAATTAAATTAAAACTTGAGTAAAGAGGGTAATAAGGTTTCAAATATTGCGTAGGAAGGTAAAAATCCTTTTGACTTTCATCTAAAGTTCCAAAAGAAAATTACAAAGGCATTAGTAGTCTTATAGTAGAAGTTAGGGGTGTCAATAGTTCGGTTCCGCCGGTTATTTTATAAAATTTATACCATACCAATTTTTCGGTTATTCTATTATGTATAACCAAAATTAAACTTTTCGAAACCGTCCCAATCATGTCGGTTTCTCTTCGGTATCGATACGGTTCGGTTAATTTTTGGTATTTTTTTAATATCATGTAAAATTCACCAGTAGAAGTAGAATGCAATAACATACGTTCTTTTAGAGGACTTAGCAAAACTCTCTAGATATTGTTAAAGGGTGATGAATTAAAAAAGAAAAAAGAAAGATGGCTAGAGTATAGATCCATCAACTATTCTACAACAATGTAAAAGAATTCAAACAAAGCAAAGAAAATATAAATCACACGGGTTGAAAGATATACTAAGTTGGGACTCAAGAATAAAGTCTATAGAAGATTATATTCAAAAAGATAAATCTAAATTATATGAAATAAAACATATTCAATACATTGTAGTTTGCTACTCATAATCGCTAGAATACTTTGTGTCTTGCTAATAGAGATACTTGAAATAACTTAGTTTAAGTAGAAGTAGCATAATAGGTTTTAGGAATTAGTATTTTGAGTTTAATTACTTGCTGGCTTGTAATAGTTTTTATAATTCCAAGGCCCAAAGAAAATTTAATGCATTATTATTTTTAAACTTATAAATAAATATATTTTCTACATGTAAAATTTATTCGGTACGGTTCGGTATTTTTTTCGGTTTATTGTTACAAAAACCCTACCCTAATTATCGGCGCAGTTATAGATTTATATATTTACCTACGGTTTCTTAAAAAGAAACTTAAAAATCGGTTCGGTGCGGTACGGTTCGGTCGATTTAGTCGGTTTTCGAATATCCATTGACACCCCTAGTAGAAGTTGTTGATTGACGGTCCACAATTTGAATGTGCTAGGCAATTTTCATTTTGGGAATCTTATAGCAATGTACTAAAAAAGACACTATTTACCAATAACTAATTATTTTTATTATGCTATCAAAAATAGCCAAAAAGTACTGATGATTTACAAAATTCAAAAAAATATAGGCAAAAAAAGGATTTTTCAATTGGTATTGTTGTGATTCGTTGAAAACACATAGATGAGATAATATATAACATTTGAGAAAGTTTGAAGGTGAATTGGACTAGTTTGGAGTTAGAATTCATTATCAATAATATAAAATATTAACAAAAATTAGGCAACAAATGATTTGTTTCAATGGGTATGGTTGGAATTCGTTTATAACATATAAATGAGGTAATATACAAGATTTGAACAAAATTGGAGGTGATTTGAATTGGTTTGATATCAAAATTCGTAGTTAAAATCGAGCATAAACAATTCTTCCGAGACACATGACAAACATGTATCTCACACACATGTATACATGGATATATATATTAGACATATGATACATCTTTTTCATATTCATCTTCTATTTCAATTTTTCAATTAAACCACCTCAAAACTCCACCAAGTCATCCCAAAATTGAGATTCAAACTCTTTAAGATGTACCCAATCTATTCCAACAACACGCAATACTCAAAAGAAAGCAAAAATTTAATATTTTTTGGCTACAAATAACTAATTGACTAATATTGATAGCATTTGGCTAATATTGATAATATTTATAAGTTAGCCAATTTTTATAATAATTACTTATGGGCAGACATAGCTAGTGGTTTCCATATATTTTTTGTTCAACTCCAACATACAAATGATGAACCTATAGTTTATGACAATGTTTCATGTCACTCAAATTAATAGCAAAAGTTAGAAAATATTATGATAGTTGTTTGGTTAGAAGCGAACAAATATTGAAATACAAGCTAAATTAATTTTGGTCTAAAGTGTCCAAAGAAAATTTATTATAGTAGCAGTGGAAGACTTACAACTTGTTTGGATGGTTGTTCCCGTTGTATCATATTGTATTGTTATCCCAAAATAATATTTGTTTTGATTGTTTCATTAAAATTAATTGTATTGTATTGTTAAATTTATTGTTCCGAAATAATGAAAAGTCGCCCTTCTTGAAACAACCGATTTGGTGTGGTGGGATTGTTTCCTATTTTTCTTTCCAGTTATGCCCTAAGGTATTACTCCACAATTCTATTTTATCCTTTAGCTTTTATTTTATTTTTTGCTATTTTAACTCTAAATCTCTAATCTATGACCTACTTTATTTTTTTCCAGAACTTCTACCGTCAACATTAAATGTGTTTTGCTGCATTTTGTTTTATTTTTTCTCCTAATGTGCTTTTAACTCAATTCTACTTGGCTGAGCTCCTTTGGTTTGCCTTCTTCTGTCTTGCTCCTTTGTTCTACTTTCTTAAGGTTTTTTGCCTTCTTCTGTTTTGTTTTTTAAAATTATTTTTATGCATACTTTTTGATAAATTTAATATTTAAACAATTGAGGGTATTTTAGTAAACTTATCAGTTACACTACAGTATGATACAGTCAAACCAAACAACAAAATACTATTTAACAATAACAAATAATACAATCTCTCTAAACATTGTATTCATAAAACGATACGATACAATGCGATACATTGCAATACAATATATTATAAAACGACGGGAAATAATGATCCAAAGTCCAAACGATCATGATTTATAGTTGTGCTCAAATTTCTGATTTAACTGATTGTGTATCGCAAGGAACAAATTCTAAACATTGGTCAAAATGGAGACAAAATCTAAATAATAGCCTCAAAAAGGGTCATTTGTGAAAATTCGCGCAATTGACCCCGTGACAAAAGTTAAATAAATAAAAATAAATACACTGTAAGTGAGACTAGGGTTTTAGCATATTTATACAGCTTTGTCCTCTCCTCTCCTTTCCCCCTCTTATCTATAACTCGCCGTCGTCTCCTCCTCGGCACTACTTGAAACCCAAAAGATGGTACATTTTCTTCAATCTTCTTCTCATTTGCATCTGTAACGTATCAACTTTTCTATTACGTATCTTTGCTTTAAAATATTGACCTGATAGTTATTCTGTATTATATCATCTTTGTTTTACGATTCTGAACTGTAATGAATCTCGAATTTTGTTTTATGGAAGAAGTGTTAGGTTTTAATCCTTTTCCCTTTATTGGGTTTGCTCCAAAATCCTATTTTGGAGCATGTTTGGCCACAATAGTTTTTAGTTTATTATTCAGAAAAGAAAAGGAAACAATTCAGGTTCAAATCACAATAGAGGCACAAAAAAAAACTAGGTGGTTTCTTACCATCTGTCTAAGCCTTGGTGGGCTGCCTTACCCGGTATTTGTGGTGGTGGGGGTAGTAGACCCGGTGGAATAGTTGAGGTCGCAAGCTGACCTTGAGCCAAAAGAAAAAGAAAGAAAGGAAAGGAAAAAATTGGACATAACTTGGATTGAGGTTTAGGGGTGTGGAGGGGTGGGGGTGGGTATGTAGTTGATTTTAATAAAGATTCAAAGCTTTTGCGGGGAAGTGCTAAAATGTTGAGATTCATAGAATGAATGTTAGATTTAACTGCTCTACCCTCTTTTGGAACAGGCTTGGCCATTTCATTGTGAGTTTTTAGTTTTGAAATCAAGAATTTTTAAGTTTGTTATTCAGAATATATATAGAGGACAAATGCTGTTCCCGCTTAATAGAATAACTTCATGATATGGATGCACTGATATTGTTAGTAGTTTTTGTTTCTTTCATTTTGTGTAGAGGTCAAATCCTGTGAAACTAGCCCTACTTCACCTTTGACGATCGTGCTAGTTTGTTAGGTGGCATAAATTGATCTCAATCAATTGCATCTTAACGGCAAACTATTTGGCCTTGGCTATATGAATCCTCTATAACTCTTCCACTCTATACAGATCCTAAGTTCATTCCGATGCTCAAAATTTCAGCTTCTAGGCAAGTTTTCCTTCTTATTATCTTACCCACTATCTTGCTGCTCTGTAATATTTTTACATGTCTAAAGTTCTTAATTTGTGAAATAAATTGTTCTCTTGTTTCTATATTCCATCCTTAGGTTGTAAAATATGCTATTGATGTGATTTCTTTTTTCCCTTCCCCTTATGTTTCAAATGTTTCATCAGAAGATTTTATTAGTTGATGTTGTATTTTTAGCCTGCTGAAGACTTTTTTGTGCTCTGTTTGTTCTTTTTATGCAATTTGACACAGTGAGCATTTAATATACGTTTATTTGCAGCCAAAGCAAATCCACGAGATCAAGGATTTCCTTCTCACCGCCAGAAGGAAGGATGCACGAACTGTTAAGATCAAGAAGAACAAGGATATGGTCAAGTTCAAGGTTCGTTGCTCCAAGTACCTTTACACACTGTGTGTGTCGGACTTTGAGAAAGCTGACAAGTTGAAGCAATCACTTCCTCCAGGTTTGCACTCTTTGACTGCTACACTTTTGCCAATTATCATGATTTTCTCTGTAATATCTTTATCCTTATCAAAATTACAAAGAATCTCTGTGATGTCTTTATGTCCGTGTCTTTCACTATTTTGTAGGATCTTAACACTGTATAATTCCACCTTTTTATCTTGATTTAACCCACTCAAACTTGCTGAAAAGAATGCAGATAGTCCTGTTAGTAGTGGCTCATTTTATATTGCCTTAGCTCATGAATTTAACAGTTGGAATACATTTCTGTATTTGCAGGTTTGAGCGTGCAAGACCTGTGAAGAAGGATTTATGCTTTTCATAGAGTTATTAGGGAATGAAGAATTTGAAAGAACTCAAATATTTCCTTTGAATATCTTGCCCTCAGGCATGTCTGAAGTTTTATTTAAGCTTTTAGATATTGATTGTTGCATTACTTTTTACTCATAATTGACAGTAATGTGAGTGAGCCTCAATGGTGCCGAATGAATTTTGTTGTTAGATGCCAAAGTTAATGTTTTATTTTGCCTCATTTTCTTTCGGGTATTTTCACAATCTGTGAATCTTTAAGACCCCAGACACTTGTGGTAATATACTGGGTATAGTCGGCTTTGCTGGTTTGAGGTAGCAACATCCAGTAGAATAGTTGAGGTGTGTGCAAACTGGCCTAGAAAACACCGTTTAAAAAATTTGAAGTCTTTGAATGGTCATCCATATGCTAAGAAGCAAAAACGCATGCAATATACTGGCAAGAACTTAATCAAATACTTTGCTGTAATAACTAAGATGAGAAACGCGAAACCCTTCTAATAACTTGCTGCCATCGGTTAAACAAGTGTAAAAAATGAAACAAAAATTAACTCTATGTTCTTAAACTGTCAGAGACAGAACATTTATTTATTCATCTATTTATTTTATGTCTGCAACAAATGCATCATACATTATAGTAAAACATTCTTTGGCATTTCAATATACACAGTAGGCAAAGAGTGAAGTTCCAGCAGTGTTGTTAGTATTAAAGACTCCAATACCAGACCTGTAACCATTGCCAACGTAAAAGCAACCATTGCTCACTGACATACCCCCATACACAGTTGCACCAGTCTCATTCGACCACAATATTTTCCCAGTTTTTGTGTCAATGGCATAAATGGGACCTGTTGGATTTTGTGAACCTGCTAACATCACCCCATTGGCAACTGTTACAGGGTTTGATTTACCATTGTTTGGAACTGCAGTTGTCCATAGAATTTTGCCGGTTTTAGCATCCATTGCTACCCAGGATCCACCTGTGGTCACATTCTTGGATGGGACCAATGTAAAGTTCAAGTTATCACTGTTGACAATGCTGGTGTATACTCTCTTTGTGTCTGTGGCTGCTCCCCATGTACCTCCTCCTGCCGTACCTCCAGGACCGGCTTCCTACATACATCAATCTCATTTTCATCAGTGTTACATTATCTTCTATTTTTGAAGGAAAAGTCCAAATAGAATCACAAACATTATCGGTTACTCTCAAGTATATTAGCAAACTATATCTTCTATTTTTGAAGGAAAAGTCCAAATAGAATCACAAACATTATCGGTTACTCTCAAGTATATTAGCAAACTAGCATTAGTTTATGATTGCACCATGAGCAATCTTCTTTACAAACTAAATTGCAGCCGCAAATAAATTAGTTTTTAACTAATATCCACTGACGATGTAAAGAATTTTTTTACATTAGCGCTAGGTCATTTGTACCTATTGTAGCAAGTAACATGCTTTATTGTCAAGATTACAAATTTCACTTTCTAGAAGGGTACTTGTAGATATATTTTTTATGATTTTGAGTGTAAAAGTTCACTTACACTGTGTGTATAAGTTAAGCTCTTAAAATTATTACTTTGTCACTTCCGTTTTACATTTCTTAATGGAGAAAATCATGATGTTAGTGAGAGATAGAAGGATCATCACTGAATACGGATGCTAATGACACGGCCGAAGCGAACCATGCTAGTGCTGACATGATCACAAGAAGGGATCAACTACATAGTTCCTAGGTTCTCTAAAGATCCACGTAACGTCCTTCCTCAAAATCAATTTGCATTGATGATGGAAGTTCATTGGAAATTCAACACATCACAGGGAATTTGTTTTGTAGGAGAACTATATTGTCCCTCGAATTGCAGAAAACAAGGAGTGATTAAGAGAAGTTGTTCGTGATCAATTTGAAGTGCTACTAACTCTTCTGGAACGTAACCATACTTGACTGAATAATTTATGTTTGATTAAAAGTTTTGGAGGACTTACAGTTGTCCAGAAGATATCACCAGTATCACGATCCAATGCCCATGCTATTCCACTTTTCTGCACAGCTGCTACTATGTCTCGTTTCTTCGTTCCATTAGCAAGCACACTTAGCATCATCGGAGCTTCCCCAAAATCAGCATCGGGGCTCGGGCCAATCGGGCAATTAGGGTTCGTCGAATTAAATCCGCATGCGACAAACCACACATCATATCCTCCAAGCTGTTTGTACCATTTGATCTTCCCAGAATCCAAATCCAAGGCCAAAATCGAGTCGGAGTGGTTCTCGGGTTCAATGCACTTGTCGGGTCGGGTCCGGTCCGGATTCGTCTGGTTTTGTTTATTCTGCTCCTTTTGGCAGTCCTCGATGTGTTTAGGCACGGAATACAGGTTTCCGGTGGCAATGTAGACGTGGTTTCGCCAGATATCGATGGAAGGGCTGCTTCCCCATACGGCGGCTCCGGCGTATTCGCCGAGTTTTCCGCCGTTGTCCGGCAGCAAGAAGGTCTTCCATAGAATTTTGCCTGTTTTGACATCTAACTTGAGAAAGCTACCGCGAAAGGTGCAGCATTCGTTAATTGTAGCACCTTCTTCTAGCGATGAAGTTCCGATGTAATAAGCCCTGCAAACATATTTGTATTAATCTTTGTACACTTTGAAAATTTGTGATTTTAAGTATATGTATAATTAATATCTTTCCTAAATTTATGATCTTAAATATATCATAATACATAAAGTATATAACTTTTAAGAATTCATCATTAAGAATAAAAAAAATTATGTTACATTAACGATGACAACTTTTTTTTTGAAATAAACTATGTTTAGGGGTGTTCATAAAAATTCGAAAACTCGAACCAAACCGAAAACTAAACTAAACCGACCAAAAAATCGATACTTTTTGGTTTGGTTTGGTTTTGAAATTTAAAAACCGATCAAATTTGGTTTGGTTTTGGTTTTAATAAAAAAAAAATCGAACCAAACCGAATATAGGAGTAACTATTTTAAATTCATTATTATATCTATATATATGTATACTTTTATACAAAATTTCAAAAAATTTATAGTAAATGTTAATCGTTCGCACTTTTAGTACAGTTCTTTACCTTTACATTCTAGTTTGATTGGTAGTTTTCTTTTGTTAAGTGTAAGAATCTATTCATGTTAAAAATAATATATTTTTAATTGAGTTCTTAAATTTTCATCACTATTTGATTCAATTATCATCAATATATCCTGGTAAATAATAGATTTCTCAAAGGGCAATTGATTTGATAGTGTTATGTTGAAAATGTGGTCGCCGAAATATGTGTTTGGTAGTGTATGTCTTATATTTAAAAAAAACCCGACAAATAACCGGAAAAACCGAAAACCCGACATAAACCGAATCGAGAAAAAACCGACTTAATTGGTTTGATTTGGTTCTAATATTTGAAAAATCGACTTACTTGGTTTGGTTTCTTTTTCGGAAAAAACTGATCCAAATCGAACCATAAACACCCCTAACTATGTTATTCTTTTTGAAATATATGGATTATTTACGTGGACAACTAAAATGAGGAAGATCTATCCAGATTCCAGACAGCCCAAAAAATAATCAATTAGAAATCGTGTCATTTGGCCATAATTTGACTTACACCAAATCATACGTAATAAGCAAAATATTATAGTTGCGTGAGAAATTAAATTTGAAGAAATATACCATGTCTACAGGTTACTTATTAATCTTAATGTTGAAGGGTTCTAAGTTTGACATTTGAGAATTTGACTAAAATAACATTTTCTTCTGAAAGACGTTTCTTTATTACAAAAATAATAGCACCAACAGACTTTTTTTTTTCTCAACAAATTTTTCCACAAAATATAGCAGTGCACTGGCAATTTCATGTTTATAATACATTTACGCATTTCATACTCTCGTTTGCTTTTCCTTTCTGGCTATTTGAAATATCGAACTATTACCTTAATTGTTTCTAGAGAATGTTGAATACTATCCAAATCACATTGAGTAAAGAAGTAAATCCATTGCAAAAAACTAGAGAAATAAAAAGAGTTTCACTAATATACTTCAGACAGTTAAAATATTTTTTGACGCTATCAGGTCAAACAAAAATATTTAGAGATAAGCCTCCTAAAATGAAAATTTGTAATCTTGAAAATAAGATATATTATTTGCTACAACAGATAAAAAACTAATTTGATAGTGTAAAAATTCATTATACTCATAGCGCGTATTACTTAAACTTGATATGAAATCCATCTTACCCCTTGTAGTAAGTCCCTGACATTGTAACAACACTAGCAGGATGATCATCCAATTGTGTACTCCAAATAAGATCTCCACTACTTCTTTTCAAAGCAAGAACCAAACTTGGTCCATAAACCCCAACAATCACCATATCCCTATTAATCACAACAGTTGGTGTTGCTCTTGCAACTATACTTGTCACATTAGGCAAAGATGAAGCATTAAATTTTCCATTAATTCCAGTCAATTCTGGCAAACTTTTTTTCCATACAAGAACTCCATCTTTAGCTCTCACTGCATATATATTGCCATTCCAGCTCGGAAAATAAAGAACTCCGGCGAATATTGCCGGCGTCGCGGTTATATCTTTCCCAGCTTTGAATTCCCACTTTTGTTTCAGCCTTGAAGCAGTCCAACGGCTAATTTTCTTTTCACCATAGGCGTATCTTCGATTGTACAAATCACCACCATGGTTTATCCAATTTCCTTGCTTGTGGTAATGCGTCCTGTAATTATGCCACTGTATATGAAACAAGACGTTTAGAAATGAGAAAAAAACGGTTTAATTCCTATATATAGTGACAGCTTAAAGATTTATACAGTCATATCACCTAAGTAAAAGATAACTTCAGCTTCTGTCTATAAAAAAAGTGGATTTAGTAACTTGAAAAATAAGGCATGTTAGTAGCTACAATAGTTTTAAGTACACTGACAATATAATTTTTTTTAATCGAATCTTTTAAAAAACAACTATAGGCAATTATATTACACGTCAATGGATATAAGTTAAATGCTGGAAGAAAAAGTTTAAAACTTGTAAACTGATAATTTAAAAATTATTTTTATACTATCAAATTACCTAATTATATATACTCCCTATGTTTTAATTTGTATGAATCTTTTCAGAGTACACGGGTCAGATTGACTAGAAGCGGATCTAGGATTTGTAGTACATGGGTGTACTACTAAAAAAAGATAAAAAAATTAGGATTGA